CTGCCTGCTCTCTGCAGCACAGCTTATGGCCCTAGAAGACATTTATCGGCCTTCACTTGCAGTGCTGTGGATTAAGATTGCAGCTCTACAAGCTTTTCCCTCTCACGCACAGGCATCAGAGGGCTCAAATACTGACCCTAGAAGTTTGTGCAGCAGCTACTCTCTTTTTCTTTTGTGTGACAAGTGCAAAGTGGGTTTGCAAGGAGGAAGAGGAGGCAGGTAATGATGATTAGTGTGGATACATGTGTCTGGGAAACCTGGCATTGCCTTTTTATACACCCCTGGTAATAACAGTAATCAATCTTTCTGGCGAATGAAGTCCAGGGCTGTTGTGAATCCTTAATAATTTGGCACACAGGAGCTTCATAAGAAACTGTCTGTCATGCCAAGCTCTGTGTTAATCCCCACTGATACACATCACTCTTAATTTTCAGTCCAGTTACTAGAAATGGCTACGGTAGGGCCATTGCTTATGCTTAACTCCACTAGCTGCTGTTTCCAAATCAAATCAATTGTACCCTCTGCTTGGCAAACACCTTAGCTGTTACCTCGGCTCCATAACTAATGTTTGAGGGTCAAATCCTCAACAGCATGCATATGAAACATGCAGAGGCAAGTTGGGGTTTGCCTGTGCCCTGACAGTGGGGACTGCAGCCCAGCAGATGAAAACCTGGAGAAGGAGCTGGAGGACTTTGTTACTTTCCCAGATTTTGTGGACCCAGCTATGAGATCTCAACAATCCGTTGCTGCATTCCTCAAATCTTTCGTGTTCATTCAGATTGTGTTCACTGGAGTTTGGCCTTTTTCATGTGTTTGTGTAGTCCTGGCACGCTTGGGGTAGTAGGTGGCAAGAACAGTGACTTGCATGTAATGGGATGGCTTCTCTTTCTCTTAAGGTATTTTTTAATACCCCAGTGACTAAGTTGTAATACCTGTTACCATTTAAAAAAAAAAAGAAGTAGGGTACATATATGCTTTACAATGTGGACAGTCCTTCTAGTTGTTGCCTTTAAAAGAACATCTGATAGCAGGTCTTGCTGTTGGTAGCTAGTTTAAAACCTCATGCGAATTACTTTATACATCACTGTATTCTTTTGTGTGCATTTGGATAACTTCCTACCTTTTCATCGTCCTTCCAGCAAGGAGTTTGAAGTGCTTGCTATGAAATACTGATGGAGTAAAAACTTGTAAAGTTTAGCGGGCTGTGCCAGAATTGTACTCTGGCGTAATCCTAACCCTAGTTTCCATTGAGCTTCAGGAAATGAGGAAAAATAGGGAGGTGAAGATACTCATACTCTACTTTTTCCATGTGCAGTGGTGTTTAACATGAATCAGGGCAGGAGGAGGGGTCGGGTCCCACAGTGTTCTCACAGGCTCTGCAGTGCTTCGTCATGAATTAAGAACAATACTTAAACCCAGCCATCTTTCAAACTTTGTAAACAAGTGCGATCTCGAACGTCATAAGCCAGGAGTGTGCTGGAGGCTCACGGGGTGTGTTATTCTCTTGCAGGTTCCCGGTGTACATAGAGGAGAAAGCTCTAAATACCCTAGCCTACCTCTGCGACGGCGATGCAAGGGCTGGACTGAATGGGCTCCAGTTAGAGGTTCAGGCCAGGGTTCAGGCCAGGTTAGCAGTGGGGAAGACCACTCCTTTGAATATTACCGAAGGCGGTTCTGCAGATGGCATTCTGATCACAGAAGAGCATGTAAAGGAAGGGCTACAGCGATCTCACATCCTGTATGACCGAGCAGGTGAGTGCCTGATGCAGTCTGTGAGGTGCAGCATTCTCAAGAGCTAACAGCCTCTATAATTTCAGTTTCCTCTCCCTCTTTTGTACCAGGTGCTCTGGTGAAACAGTGATTGTACATAAATTTGGCCTAAAAATTACTTTTCTTTTATAGTGTAGCAGGTTCACACAAATTCCTTCTGAAAAGGATTTCCTTTTACCACTTAGGTAGTGTAGGTTGTCTGAGAGACATATTTGCTGCCCTGCAAACACCTGCATGGTGAAATTACTTGTTCATAGAATCACAGAATGGTTTGGGTTGGAAAGGACTTTAAAGACCATCTAATTCCAACCCCCCTGCCATGGGCAGGGACACCTTCCACTAGACCAGGTTGCTCAAAGCCTCGTCCAGCCTGGCCTTGAAGACATCCAAGAATGGGGCATCCACAACATCACTGGGCAACCTGTTCCAGTGCCCCACCACCCACTCCAGAAAGAACTTTTTTCTTGATACCTAATCTAAATCTACCCTCTTTCAGTTTAAACCCCTTACCCCTTGTCATGTCACTACAGGCCCTCTGACATTCTGGACTGTTGTTCTGTAAGACTTTTAGAATATTCTCGTCTAAGAGGGTTGCAGTGTGAAGAGGGAGAAGTATTTTGATGAGGAGATTTGTTCTTGTAGTGCAATCTTCCATTGCACTTTTTACTCCAGTGAAAATCTTGGAAATGCTCGCGGTCACTGCAGTATGTTATGTGAAAACATGAGCAGTTTGCTTTATTTTTAGAGTTGCTTTTCAAGGTAATGAATTTTGTAGCTTGCTTAGGGCAAGTCACATAAATCTAATTGCACTTAAGGCTTCTTAATGTGATAACGGCTCTTGCTATATTTGTGACTCTGCAATGGTGGGCGTAGCAGTAGTTCTCCACTCTAACGTTTTATGCAAAAGGGTTACAAATTGGAGAGCAACCTTTAGAGATTAGGTGAATCCCCTTGAATGCATATGGTAATTCTTCAGCAGTACTTGTGCAGTGTAGTGCCAAGCAGCGTTTGGAGAAGTGATTGATTTTTTGGGGTTTTTTTCCCTTTGCCACTCTATCTGATATGCTCAATTAACTGTCACTGCTCCAAACCTGAGATGAGATTTCTGGAGGTTGTTCCTAACGTGTATGCTTGCTTGCGGCCTTCTTGCTACAAAGAGCAAACAGTGGCTCATTATCAGGAAAAAGGCAGCTGGGCAGATGCTGATACGGCAGCTGAGAAGTCGAGGGGGGGTGGAGAAGACAAATGTTATGGGATCTGTGGCAGGAAGAAGTCATGATTAGGAGGAAGCGGAAAATCTGACCAGTTCACTGGTGTGAGTCTCTCGCGCTGCCTAGATCCCTCGTGTGTTTGCTGTCGCCTTGTGGCCACTGTCATGCAAAACCCTTGGTTGTGTCCATTGCTCCCAGCCCTCCTACGCATATTTCCTCTGTTAGAGCTGACATAGAGTGCCTCTTCCTGAGGCTTGTGTCAAGCCTAGGTAGCGTGTGTCGCCCTGACAGAAATCCTTCCAGCTCTGTGTAAGGTTTTATTTTTTTGCCAGAGATTTTCAGACATGAGTGAGAGCGGTGAAAATTCTGTTTTTCTTGAGGGTACAAGTGCCAAAGAGCCTGCCAGATAGTGTCACGGTAGCGGGTTACCCAAGTACATGCCTTTACAAAATTTCCCTCTTCTGTGGGGTAGTCTGTGTCTCGGTTGGCCACTTTTGTCTATAGCAGAAATAGTTGTTTGTCCTTTTTTGTACAAAGGGCTTCTGGGTAGAGGCTACTGTGTAAATAAAAATGTTTCTGTAGCATGTTTTAGCTAATACTTTTTGGATCACAATTGTGGTGGTGGAATCCGCAGTCATATAAAGTGGAAAGACCTGGCGCTGTCTAATCGTGACAGCAGCAGCATACGTTTGAGTGTAGTGTGCTTATGTAGAAGGCATCGAAAATCAGTTGTGTAGACAGGGAATTTTGATTTTACATGATTGTTTATTATTGGTCATTTTCTGCAAAATTTGCCAAACATACGTATTTGGGCATTCTTTTACGTACTTTCATCAAGTAGTCTAGGAAGAAAATTAAGCATAATCCATTTATTAGGCTGTTGCTCTGATCTGTGTGCAGACACATAAAGACAAGATCTTTGTGCAGATAATATTTGCATTTCAGCTGGAAGGACAAAGAAACAGCTCTAGTCAGATTTCACTGCCAGCAGCTGCCTGCAGCCCTTGCAGTGTCAGAGGAAATAAACTGTTCAGTCATATTTCAGCTTTGAATGGCAGGTTTTTTTCGTTTTGATTTTTGGAGAAAATGGTGCATCAACCAAATTAATTAAAGTTTAACTGCAGATGGACAGCAAATAGACTTTTAATGTAGAGTTACATTGTCCCTTCTTCCTCTTAGGTCTCTCTCCTAACCCTGATTTCATAGCAAATACCAAAGATAAATATCAGAGTAACTGCAGGATTTTGTCTCACTGCCTGTGTGGTAACGTTAACTTCAGTTATGGTAGAGACTGGGAATGTGTTAAAATGAAGTTAACTTACTTTGTAATCTGGAATATGGTTATTCCTTCCTCTTCTGTAGAGGAGGAAAGAGAAGGTGTCTCATGCCATGTTTTTTGCCAGCTTTATTGTTTTCTGCTGGACCAGAATGAAAAGTCCTTCTATGCATGCTGTTGCTGTAGTCTTTCTTCCCTCCTTTATCGATGAGCAGTTGGTATTTACCTTTGGCTAAGACAGAAAATAATGTGAGATGGGGACTGTGATTTTACTTTTGCCCACTACCTTATAAACAGGGATTGCTGAAGAAGTCCAGATTTTAATTATGGTCAGTGAGTGAGGCCTTTCCCTGGTCTTCTACCAATAAGGCTTTAGATCTTAAATTAGCTGGATTATGGGAGCACATAAAGCAATTTAGGGGCATAAATCAACATGATATATGCATCTGTGTACATTAGACACTAGAAAATCCTGTCTTCCACAAAGCCTCTTTTGTAGTATCTTGTTTCTTTTTGGAAAGGTATTTGCCTTTGCAGGAACTGCATAGAGCAAATGCATTTTGATTCCAAAAACTTTTAGAGTTTTGATTTCAAGAGGCATCCAGGATGCAGCAGAACAGCAGTGATACATAGGTTGGCATGTGTCTGTCCCTCAGCTGCACTGATAAGACCAAAAATCTGTATGTTGGCTAATCAGCCTGAGAGACAGATAAAGGTCTGTAAAAAATTCCTGGTATCTCACATAAAAAATATATGGACTTTATTTTGTAAAAAGAAATACAAGCCCTCTTTCTCCAATGCATGTTTGCATTGCAGCTTTCCAGTTCCTGAGGGGAGCCTACAAGGGTGCTGGGAGAGGACTTTTTACAAGAACCTGTAGTGACAGGACAAAGGGTAACGGGTACAAAATGAAAACAGGGAGGTTTAGATTAGATATCAGGAAGAAGTTCTTCCCGGAGAGGGTGGTGAGGCACTGGAACAGGTTGCCCAAAGATGTTGTGGATGCTCCATCCCTGGAAGTGTTCAAGGCCAGGCTGGATGAGGCTTTGAGCAACCTGGTCTAGTGGAAGGTGTCCCTGCCCATGGCAGGGGGGTTGGAACTAGATGGTCTTTAAGGTCACTTCCCACCCCAACCGTTCTATGATTCTGTGATTCTATGTAATTGTACTTTGCCTTTAATTGAAACTGCATTTAAAGCACAACTGCACCGTTTTTCTGAAGAAGCCCAAGTCTGGTGTATAAGTATTGTCATTATGTTGATGACTTGGTCACTAACATTAACTGTGAGGGTGCCAGAGCACGGGAACAGGCTGCCCAGAGAGGTGGTGGAGTCTCCTTCCCTGGAGACTTTCAAAAGCCGCCTGGACTTGTTCCTGTGTGATCTACTCTGGGGCATCATGCTCTGGCAGGGGGGTTGGACTAGATGGTCTCTAGAGGTCCCTTCCACTCTGTGAACCTGTGAATTCCGTAAGGAAGGACATGATGGAAGGAAGACGTCCCCTTTCTTAGCCTGCATCCTCTGAAGTCCTTTTCAGGTATGTATCCCTCATCCCAACATATCTTCTGGATTTCTTCTGCCTCTCCAGCTGGTATCCCCAAATATGACATTTTGCAATAGCCCAAACAGCCTATAAAAGCACTCCAGCAGAAAAATCTGGACAAGTGCAACCTCTGGAGATATTTAAAGGCAGTCTTCCTTACTTTTAAGAGACCAAGAGACGCCGCCTCCAATAGGACGATGCGAGTTCAGCTGCTTGGGTTTATTGCTACTAACTCAAGTGTTATGACGGAGCATGGACTTGCTGTTTGTCTTGGCAGGAGTAATGACTGCATACCACAGGGCTCTTTGTGTGGAGTCTCAGCAAAAATAGCCGTCTCCCGGCTTGCATACGCCAGCAGCGTGTGTGTAGAACTGCACTGCAGTGTGAGCAGCGACGCAGGAAGGTGGGGACCCAGTTTCTGACCTGGGAGGTTGAGGTCTTGCTGGCTGTGAAAAGAGCAATTGCAGTAGTTCAGGGGCTTTGGTTTTCAGACTCATGTGTGGCCTTTTATTTGCAGGGCCTACAAGGGACAGTGCTGAGTTCTGATATGGCCCTTGGGCTGTAAATCCTTTTAGCCTTAGGAAGAAGAGGAATATTAACAGATGGCTGTGCATGCAGCCAGTTGCCTTTATAATACACGCTTAGCTGTGAGCCAAGGAATGTCAGGCACTTCAAAAAATAAAAAAAGCGGATTATGTGGAAAGTTTAACAACAATGTTGCAGCAAAAATAATCTTACAAGTTTGATTAAAAGAAATGCCTAAGAATCAAAACCAGCTGCACAGAGAAAAATTGCAAGCAGGAAGGGTCTGCTTCAGTGTTTGTAATGTTGAACCTCTGTTTTTTAACTGTAGCTCTAAAAGATCTGTGGAATTGCTTTGTTTCTCCCTGGAGTCCATATCTAATCTGATATTATAATTTAATGTTAAAAAAAAAAAATCCTTGTAATTCATTCAGTCTTCCCACTCCGTATTTAGCAGTCTGGCATTTCAGGTTTTCTTTGTGTGTGTACTCTGTTTCAGCTACTTACAGTTTTCAGGACCCTTCCAGTGATGCAAGTGTCCACAACTGAACTCAGCATTTCCGAGGGGTTTGCCAGGGTTGTGTGCTGCAATCCTGTTTCCTCCAGGTTGTCTGATATGCTGTCGTCATATATCCACAGCAACGTTTCCCTTTTTTTTTCTATATATAATGCAGCAAACTTGTGTTTGATTTACTGCGTGCTTTTTTTTTTTTTCCCATGTTTTAGCTGATGTGAAACTTCTGGTTCTAAACCACGACTAGCATATAGTACTGGATTTCTCTGATTCTCTGTTGTCTTCTCAGACCTGTGTGCGTGTACTAAAGCAATGGTCACTCGTTTGTATGTACTCATACTTTGTCAGTTAGGAGATACTTAGAGTCTTTTTCCTAACTGCTTAAACTATCAGTATTTTTTTTTTCCTTTTGAAGGAAAGGTCATTAGTGTACCAAAACCAAACTGTTTGCCTTGTAATGTTTACAAAAAAAAAAAAAAAAGCCAAAACCACTTCCTTTTCATCCACAGTCGCTCTGTTACACTTACGGAGTTAGTGAAGTAATCCATGTGGCAAAGCATGAAGATGTTGAAAACATCAATGAACACCATAATCATGTATGCATAAAAAGAACTCGAAAAAGCAGGCTATGTTCACCTGCTGTGATCTAGTAAAATATGTTCTGTTCACTTAAATTCCTAACAGCTTTATGTATCTCTTCTCCCCCGTTCTACATAGGAGAAGAACATTACAATTGCATCTCTGCCCTGCATAAGTCTATGAGAGGCTCAGATGAAAACGCTTCCCTTTACTGGCTTGCTCGGATGCTTGAGGGTGGTGAGGATCCCCTCTACGTGGCAAGGAGGCTGGTGAGGTTTGCAAGTGAAGATATAGGTCAGTATTTGCAGTATTTCTTGTTGGAGTATTCTGTTGCATGAAGACCTGCCAGGCTTCTGGTTTCCAAAAACTGGCATTTGAGCAGAGAAAAAAACTGAACCAAAAAAAAAAACCCAAACAACCAAAAGTGCTTTATGCAAAATAGGTACAAAATACTGAATTGCTCCACATACAACAAAAACTCTGCAGACAGAGACCTACAGGTGATGTCATTGTGATGTTTACCCATTGCAGGAGAAACAAATATTTTTGAGGTCAGATTTTGGCAGTGTATTAATATGGATTCTTTTAAACTCTGGTGATTGTAGGTCACCAGTAAATTCGTGTCACAGAGAGCATGTATGTCAGGGATGTCTGGTTTTTTTAATGACTCTGGAAGGCGGATGCCTACCCTGACTTGCAAACCTCAGGTGTGATAGCTGGCTCACTAGTTGTAAGGAATATTGGTTGAGTTATCCATAGCAACAGTTGTGGCAACACTTTTAGCCCATGTGACATGGGTGAAGAGTTAAGAGTTTGGGGGATCTGTGTTTATATAGCAATATTTCCCCATTGTCCCCAAAACCAGAACACCCATTTTGTTCTCAGTTCCAGCAAGTAAGTGGATCATCCATGGGCAGCTACTGCTCAGCGTGCCACTGCATGGCAACACATTCAGGCTGAGAATCATACCCACGATTTAGACCTTTCTTCTGGGACGTGGAGGGGGAGACAGAAGAAGGCAGGCTGTGGGTGGAGGGATTATCTCTTATGTACTGCAGAGTGTTGCAGTAGAAGTTTCAACATCCGAGAAAGCAACTTTGAATTGTGCATGGATAACCTTCCATCTTACAGGATTGGGGAAAATAAAAAGAGTAACTAAAGTAAACTGACTTTAACCTGCTTTTATCTGATCCCTTTTGGTAGGTTTGGCAGATCCTCTGGCTTTAACACAGGCAGTTGCTGCTTATCAAGGCTGTCACTTTATTGGAATGCCAGAATGTGAGGTAAAGGCTTCATTAATTCACTGATTTGGAAGGACTGCAAACTGTAAAATCTTATCTGCAATTGTAAAAAGAAACTGAGGTTGTAAGAGCAAGGCAGATTTAGTTACGTGTTCATTCAGCATGCCCCCTTCTAAGACAAGCATCTTAAAGCATATGTTGTAGTTTGAAATAAAATTCACTGCATATTTATTGTCAAAATGTGATATGTGCAAAAATGTCATTTTGCTCTATGTTATTTTGTTTATAACAGAGAAAAAAAATGTTCTGATATTCTAAAGTAGCTAATTCCTTTCTAGTGAAAATTTTGGAGAGCTGTGTTGTTGTGAAATAATAACATTTATACTATAGTAGCAGGCAGAGGTCAGTTTAAAAACATAATCCCTGTCATGCTACACAAACAGTCCGAGTAACAGACATTTTCCCAAAGAGCTTAAAAGTCGTCATTGATTGGTTTCCCTTATCTTGTTTCCAGGTCATTCTGGCACAATGTGTGGTGTACTTTGCGAGAGCACCGAAGTCTGTCGAGGTGTACAGGGCATATAGCAACGCCAAAGAATGCCTGAGAACGCACACAGGGCCTCTGCCTCCCGTTCCGCTGCACCTGAGAAATGCCCCAACGAGGCTCATGAAGAACTTGGGCTACGGTAAAGGCTATAAATATAACCCCATGTACAAGGAGCCTGTAGAGCAGGACTACCTGCCGGAAGAGCTGAAAGGAACAGACTTCTTCAAGGAACGAAAAGCGTGACCCCCTTGCTCGCAGTGGGTTCCGGTTTTATGACTCGTACGTTTTTACTAGGATGACAATTCCCCTACCAGCTTTAGGCATCTGTTGCTGTGGTTGAACGTATTAAGCCGCTGAGCCTTTCAGATTCTTTCTTAGCCTTCTGGTTTTGCTGCTCTTATTCTTGAAGGTGTTTTGCGAAGGGCTGCGGTTAGGCAGTGTAGAAATGCAAAAATAAGCTTTATCAGTCCAGTGCTGTCGCCCCTTGGATCACATGAAATACGAGAGACTTGTATTTCTGGCTCTTGCTGTGACACAAGGAGTATTATTGTGCTGATTTTTTAAAAAATCAGTATCTTTCAGATTTTTGAGAATGTTTATTTTCCAGAAAAATAAACAAATTGTATCCCCTCTGCTAAAATATGGTAAACAGAATGTAATTACAGTGTAATTCTTGCTATTATGATGTTCCAGAGACTAATTTTGTACAACAGCGTTTATTAAATAAAGTTGTTAAAAATAATGTCTATGCATCTGTTTAAATATTCTTACGACAGCAGTGTGGTTTGGAAAGTTGGAAGTTCCTTTAACTGTGTCATCCCTACTTCCTGGAGCAAACGGAAATAATTTTGCAGGTAGGATAGTCATGAACGTATCTGAATTATGTTAGCTTTTTCAATCGTATCACTTAAAAGTTTCATTATGTGATGACATTTTTTGGAAGTGCTTTTGGAAAGGAGGTTCCTGGTAGTGAAAACACTCTCATATATTTCCGTTTGTGCTTCAGGAATTCCAATAGATGTGAATTGGAAAGCGGAGAGATGCAAATTGACTTCCTGCTGTTTATAATAGAGAGTTTGGCTTCCTCCTCCTACTGAAAACATATCCACATCCAAGTTTGCTGTTGACTGAACATTTCTGTAAGTGGAACGTACGGTCATGGCAGTGTCCCTGATGTTGACAACATTCCTTCACCTTAGTGCTGATTATTTTTCTTCTCCTCAATCTTTCTTAAGTGTGCTGTGGTCCAGTGTGCTGAAAAGCCAGCAACTGCTACAACAGCATGTGACCGTGCTAACGAGCAGTTGGGTAGCGGAAGAGGACCTTGTTTGGCTAGAATTTCAGCAGGTTATTAGCGAAGAACGTTTTTGTTACTGAAATGCTCAGGAGCCACTGGGGCAACTGTCCACACTTGTCAAAGTGCCGTGGAGTAATCTGGCCACCAGTGACGAGGAGATGTGTGTCTTGGCTGAAAACTATCCCCTGTGCAGTAGCGCAGTGCAGCTACAGCTGGATTTGCTCCATAACTACTCAGGATTCGCTTGCTACGTACCCCATACAGCTTTTTTACCGGGCCTGTACTGGTTACCCAGTGGGCTTCAGGGAATCCTGTCCTGATCCTGCTTAGTTTTTGAAAGGTGATGAGGTCAAAACTTAGTGCTTTATGTACGGCTTCTGATCTTTTTGCTGTTCAACTAAGAATGCTACAGTCCTGGTAGAAGAAGGAGGTGGCTCTGCTGGCACCCTGAGAGGTGTCAGGAGGTTACTAACACTCCTCCAAACCGACTGCTTTACCACAAAGGTGTTTGTTTTTTAATAACACAGAATCATTTGGGTTTTTTCTGAGGTGTTGGCTGAACAGTGACTGGTGCTTCGTTTCACATTTACAGTATTGCATTTGACACTTAAAAACTTGTATTCAGTTACCTAATAAGTATCAGTGACTGGTGCTTCATTTCACATTTACAGTATTGCATTTGACACTTAAAAACTTGTATTCAGCTACCTAATTAAATAAGTATTTCATTTTGGGGCAAAGGAAGAAAACCGGTTTGCGCCGAGCTCTTTGCACCTCTCTTGAGCTGTACGTGTGACGCAACCCAGCTGCCAGCTGGTCAGCTGCCTGGTATATGCAAGTTGCAGGCAGGTATTTCTTGACAGCGGAGGTATTTGATACTGTAGGGGGCTTAGATCGGAGGGGATGCCACAACGACGCATCCGGAGTTCCTTTGGAGCAACTTCTGCAGACCAGGATGTCTGTGGTCTGCGGATGTGGTTCCAAATCAGGAAGCCAACTTCAATTTTTCCTGCAGCAGGAAATTCAGCTGCTTACTCTCTGTTTCAGGATAGATTGCTGGATCTTGGCCTTGATCGAAGGCTTTTCAATATACAACCTGCAAAACTGTATGCTAACAGTCCATGAAGAAACTTTCCGCTTGCTGTCTTCTCTTGACCGAAGGGTGTTTGTATTGGAGATGAATTTTGCTGTGAGGCTCCCACCCTGGCAGTCTTCACATTTAAACTTCTCCTGCATGACAAAAATGTAGGACTTAAGCCAAGGATTGTGGTGTAACTGAAATGTTTCAGAAATTAAATTGATTGCGTGACTCTGTACTGCTGAAGAGGTGAGTCAGATTCTTTAAAGGTTTCTATGTGTTCTTCCTCAAATAGCTATCCGTGTTCTTCACATCAGGATGGTTTAGCAGAGTACGAGCTACTTGTCCGAGTTTGCCTCTGCTCCTTCAAGATATGCAGAAAGACGGGAACAGAGGTGAAAATGTGGTTTATACTAATCCAAAATCCTCTTGGCAAAATGTATTCTGCTATCAACCAACCTTAACTTTAATTCTTAATACACCGGTACATATTTCTTTCAATGGCCCGTGATGTGCAAGCTGACCCCCGCTTGCAGAACGAATCAAATCAGTGGATTGGTGAATTTAAAGATGGATTTTTTTGTCTTCCAGGTGTATGAGAGGTTGGTGTGCTTCCCTTTGATGCAACTGGCAGTTAGAGGTGTTGGGCTAATGCAGCCTGAGGTATTTTTCCACTCGTATTTTCTTCTATTGGTGAAAAGAATGGGATAACCTCAGTGGATTTTCTTAACTTTGCCTAGCACCTGCTAATGCTCAAATATAAAGTTTTACCCAAGGGAAACCCCAGAGTACAGTTTCTTGCCTGCGGTTGACAGAAATCTTCACTCAAAGCCACAACGTTCAATTTACTGCTCTTCTGCTAGTTATTTAAGACTTGATCAAACTTCCCTTGTTACAAC